ATCTGACAGTGATTAAAATCACTATAAAAAAAAAAAAAACATTTCAATGCAAATCTTTAGATAGTGTTTAATTTTAAAAAATTGGTGGATTATTCCAAAATGTACATGATCTGCTAGTTCCTTATTAATATCCTGATTAAAATTAAGTATGTCGAATAAAAGAGAGATTATTAAAAAATGTTATTTCTCATAAAAAAATTGTGTTGATCCATACACTTTTTATTAAGTTATAGCATTATAACGATGAAAATGTAAAAAAAAAAAGAATTTTCACACGAAAATAACATTGGTAGCCATTTTCACCACGAATACAATTCTAGAGGTCAATTTTTTTTTTTTCATAATAAAGTATATTACATTACGTTTAATTTAAGATATATATAAAAGTGTCAGACTTTCCGGAATACTTTAAAAAGTCAAGTTGAAAAAGTTTTACTTTCTATATGCATTTTTTAGATTAGAACCCCCCTCGTATATAGGGAAATGGTATGATTTAAAAAAACAGTATGTCGAATAAGAGATGTATATAAATACTACTTCTCATGAAAAAATTATATTGATCCATACATTTTTCAAAAATTTATAGCATAATAAAGTATATTATAATAGCTTTAATTTAAGATATTTATAAAAGTGTCAGACTTTCCGGAACATTTTCAATAGTTAAGTTAAAAATGTTAACTTTTTGTAAAAAAACTTTTAAATCCCCCCCTGTGGGAATGTAAAGGGTTAAATTTATGAAAAAAATAAATCAAATGATAGGTAAAGACATCAAGCATCTATAAAAAAAAATTATATTGATAAATTATATTTTTGAAAAAGTTATTTAAATTTATAATTTAGAATAATTTAGAATTGTAATTTAATGGAGAAATCATAAAAATGTTATAAAGTAGTTGTTACTTTTATGGCAAACACGTATAAAAAATGATGGGCTTGAAAAAAAAAATTTTATTTATTGTTAATATAAAAAAAAGTTGTATTGCTTTGTGTATTTTTAATATAAATGTGGACTGTAGTATCAAAAATTAACGTTTTAAACAATGAATTTTACATAAAAATTACATTTTTGTTCAACAAAAATTTGTTTGGTGTTTGGACAAAATTTTTTTTTTGAACTTATAATAATTATTATAAGCTTTAGTTCGTCATATATTTAAAGCTCGAAGTATTTCTGGAAAATATTTACGATTTTGGTATAAAAATGATTTATTTTGATTTTTTCATTTTTCAATATGTTAAATTTGCAGTTATAAGTAAAAAGTATTGAAAAAATGTGGAAAATTAGCGATCTTTAATTTGTAATTATTTTAGGGGGATTTTCACCATTTATCTCTGAAAGGATAAAAAAAAAAAATTATTTAACTTCATATTATTGTAGGGTTTTATAAACTTAATATTTATTAATATATATAATTAAATATTTTATATTTTATATTTATAACTTCATACTTCTTGAGTATATTATTAAGAAATTTAAATTTAAACCTTATATTCTACTCCTATTTTAAGATCGCATACATACATTCTACGTTTATTCTGCTTACAATTCAACTAATCTTTATCNCCCACCCAACGGTGGGTGGGTAGGTGAAGGGGTGAGGCGGGGGGGGCCTAGAACTCTCTATTTTACCCTACTATAATATATACAACATAATAAAATATTTCATGATGTATTCTAATATGATTATTAAAAAACTTACTTTTAATTGATAATAATGTTCAAATTAAATTTTACAATGATTTTATATCACATTTTGCAGAAAATAAAATTCTTCGATTATAAATTAAAAATTACTGAACTTTATTTAAAGGAATTATGGTTTTTATACTAGATGAAAATGTATTTATATATATATAAACTATTGACGAAGGGAAGAAATAATATTTCAGAGTATAAATAAATTGATTGGAATGATATCATGGGAGTATCGATTGATAAGCGAAATTGGTGAATTTTCAGATAGCAAAATTAACTGATATTTACTTCATTAATTAGCAGTTCTTTGATTTATAAGTATAATATATGAATAAGTATTTATAATAGAAATNCTCCGGTTACTCTGGCATACAAAAAAGAAGATGGACGTCGGTCAAGACTCTGTATTGATTTTAGGAAAATGAACAAATTAATAATACCAGAAAGTTACCCTTTTCCAACTATAAATGATGTAATTGATAAAGTAGCAAATTGTAAATACTTTACTGTAATCGATATAAATTCTGCATTTTGGTGTATTCTTTTAAAATTAGAAGACCAAGAAAAGACATCATTTATTACAAAATTTGGAAAATTTATGTTTAAAGTTCTTCCATTTGGACTTAAAAATGCTCCAGCAATATTTCAACGGATCCTTTCGAATATAATAAGAAGAAATAATTTAGATGAATGTTGTATTAATTACATTGATGATATATTAATTTTTTCAAAGTCATGGCAAGAACATATGCAACATATCAAAAGTTTTTTAGCAACTATGGAAGAAGAAGGGTTTAAACTAAAGCTAGCTAAATGTAAATTTGCTGCAAAATCTGTTAAGTATCTGGGTCATGTCTTACAAGAAAATAGAGTTTCACCAGCACAAGAGAATCTTATTGCAATCAGAAACTTGAAAAGACCAACGGATAAATCAGGTGTACGCAGTGTGTTAGGTTCAATAAATTTCTATTTGAAATATATTGAAAATAGTGCTGAAAAGTTTCAACCCTTACATAATTTGTTGAAGAAAAATAGTGAATTTCATTGGTCAGATGAGTGTGAAAAAAGTTTTAAACTAATAAAAGAATACTTATGCTCAACACCAATTTTAGCAATTTATGATACAAATAAAGAGGTATATATTGAAACAGATGCTAGCTATAAAGGAATAGGAGCATCATTAAAACAACCACAATCAGATGGAAAACTACATCCAGTTGCTTACTTTTCCCGGAAATTATCCGAAAAGGAAAAAAAAATGGATATTATTCACTTAGAATGTAAGGCAATTAAAGATGCAATTAAATATTGGCAGTATTATCTAATTGGTCGTGAGTTCAATGTGTGCAGTGACCACAAACCATTAGAGAATTTAAGAACTAAATCTAGAACAGATGAAATACTAGGTGATTTAGTTCATTATCTGTCTCAATTTCATTTTAAAATAATATATAAAAAAGGAAAAGATAATATTTTAGCAGACCTCCTTTCAAGACAGCCAGTTTTGGAATATTTTGAAAGCGAAGATGTTATTCGGGTGGTAAATTTAATTGAGCTTTCAGAGATACTCGTGGATCAGGAAAATAATATACAAGAACTAGAATCTGCCAAGAATACCGAAAAACGTCGTAATATCATCTTTAAAAAAATTAAAGAAAAATCTAGGATATTCATATCAGTAGATTTGGGAAAAAAAATAATTGAATCAGTGCATGACTGTTATGGCCATATAGGGGTTTCTCAAATGTGTGCAATGATAAGACCATATTACTATTTTAAAAATCTTGACATGTTGGTGAGTGATTTCTGTAAAAGTTGTTCTATTTGTATAGAAAATAAAACAAGAAGGAGTAGATTGATTGGCTTGATGTCAAAACTTGGTCCTGCTTGTGAACCCTTTGAGATAATGTCTATCGATACAGTTGGTGGGTTTAAAAATAATAAATCTAAAAAAAAGTATATGCATATTTTAATCGACCATTTTAGTAGATATGTCTGGATTTCAACGACTCAGGGACAGTGTGCCAAGGACTTTATAAACCTTATAGATCCAGTTGCGACAAATAATAAAATTACTGTATTATTAGCGGATCAATACACTGGATTAAATTCTGATGAACTAAAAAAATATTTGAATAAAAAAAATATTCAGTTAATGTTTACTAGTGTAGATTGTCCACAGTCAAACGGATTGAATGAGCGAATAAATCAAACTCTAGTCAATAGGATAAGATGTAAAATAAATGGAGGTAGAAAACAAGCTTGGTCAACCATAGCTGAAGAATGCGTTAAAGAGTACAACCGAACAATTCACAGTGCAACAAAATTCGAACCAGCTTATTTATTATTTGGGGAAAAGACAAACATTAGTCCCATAGACATAGTTAACAAGAATAATTTGGTGGCAGACAGGATAAAAGCATTAGAAAATTCGAAAAAAAACTTTGAAATCAACAAAAAAAGAGTTGATAGAAATAGGAAAATACATGAATTTAATGTTGGAGATGAAGTATACATTGAGAATGGGAATAAAATAAACAGAGGAAAAATGGATAAAGTTAGAACGGGACCTTTTCCGATACTGAGGAAAATTTCACCTTCCTTCTACGAAGTAGGGTGTGGAAAAAAGAAAAAAGTGTCAAATTTTTTTCATAGTGTTAAGTTGTCTCCTTTTCCCCAGAAAAGAGACCTCTGAGGGGGAGGTGTAAAAACTTTAGGTTAGCGCCATCTGTGTAATTGTGTTGATATTTTATAATTGTGTTATCAGTGTCTATCTGTTATATGTAGTTCTTTTTAGTGTGTTTCCCTTAATAATATAAATGTGTGGTAAACGTCGTGTAATTAATTATTCTTTTTTAGGTAAATGTTTTGTTTATTTAAATTTGTATTTGTTTTTTATTTATATTTAAACATGTTTGTAAAATTCTTTTTTAGATTAATAAAATCGGTTAAAACCACATTACATATATAGTAGATTCTTAACCCGTTGTTGGTACACATATAGTTCGTAACATAATTGTTACACTGTGAGCGTGACGCTCACACTTCACTTTATATATTATTATTAATTGATCGATTAACTTAAAAAATTACATCGTACCTAGAATTATGTATATTTTTATCCTTCACTAAAAAGTAAATAAATACTTAAATAAGTAAATGTCATAATTTATAAAATAAAAATAAAAAACTACAATCTTATTCCAAAAAAAAATTTTTTTATTCCTTATAAAGCAATACAAATTAATTAAAAACTTAATATAAATGAAAATTTATAAACTATTAAATTCATCACTTTGGTCTATTCACTTTCTGTACTACTTATTTCGTTGTGATCGTTACAGCAGGATACGCATGTGCTCGTCGTATTTTCCTTACATATTGGCACGCTGCATTTTACGCACTTGCTCTACAAAATTATTTCAAACAATTATTTGAAAAATTAGTTATATATAATATTATTATTATTATGTATTCATAAAAATATTTCCTCACCATGGTCTTTCGATTTTTTCTTTTTGGACAAAATACGCACTTCGGACGATGATCAATGTTTGAACGTTCAGGGACTTCATCTTCTGTCTTGGTGTAACCAGTCAATTTTATTATTCTTTGTCCAATACTTGTACGCAAAGTAGGCATCTGCAATCGTTCTAACATAAATGGTCTGTAAGTTCTTTTACCAAGGTTTATAGAAATTTTCGACGACTTAGATAAATTCCTGTATTTTCTCGAAAAATAATTTGGCTATTTGTGCCTCCTATCTTCATCAGAGAGAAAAAAATGGTCAGTGGCCACCTGCAACTTATTTTAGCCACAGAGTATTCGCCCTTCATTTCATCCACACAATCAACGCCACTTTTTGTACTGTTGTAGTACGTTATCACTTCTGGTTTTCTTTTTTCAGACTCTGGATCAATGACACCTTGTTCGTGCATAGTGGAAACAAGCAATACATTTTTATTTTTTTTTGGTACATATGACGTAAGCAATTTGTTTTTGTCATAACCAAACATCGTAGAGTTCAATTGCCTTTTTTTAGTGTCTAAAAAACAAAGGAGAATTTCACGTTTGTTTTTACGAAGTGTACCAACTACAGTAGTGTTGTGATTTTTTAGTAGATCAATTGCTTGAGGTATAGAATTATACCAGTTATCCATGGTGATATTACGACCTGTTTTCGTAATTTGGGCGATTAATCTTTTTACTACACTTACTGGGTCGTTTTCGCATTTATAAGGCCCATCGGGCTGAGTCCCAACGTACACTTCCATTTTCGACGTATAAAAGGTGCTAGAGTCGACTAAGGCCTGGATTTTTATACCATATTTGTTAGGTTTACTTGGGATATACACTCGGAAACTACAACGGCCTCGAAAACTTTCAAGCATTTCATCTATAGTTACATTTGCCCACACTGTATAATAATTCTCGCAGCGTAGAACAAATTCGTCAAATATTGAACGAATGGCCGCAAGCTTATCAAATTGTTTTCTCTGAGCCCGTGTACCTATATCGTCAAACCTCATTGCTCTTAGAAGAATATAAAATCGTGCTTTTGGCATAACTGCTCGAAAATACTCTGGAGATAAGCCGTCATTTGACCATAAATCATCAAGGTTGAGATGATTACCACGTTGAACACCGGCCAAATATAACAGTCCAAAAAGCGCGTTTATTTCGGATTTTGAGGTTTCGCGTACCATATGTTTTTGTGTATATTTTGAACGAATTTTATCCAGATATATGTTGGTGTATTTTACTATATCGTCAATCATGGAATCAGCAAAAAAAAAAAGTTTCAGCACTTCAAAATAGAATTTGCATTGCGACCTGTTGGTTTTACGCCTGGTAAACGTAAAANTAAGTTCCAGCACTTCAAAATAGAATTTGCATTGCGACCTGTTGGTTTTACGCCTGGTAAACGTAAAACGAAGTTACGTTGGCGAGTACGTACATTTTTAGGAGGAGCGTCTTTATACCATTTTGTTTGTTTATCTTTTCCTAAGTAGTAAGAATTCTGTGCTATAGGACTATGACTTCTTGAACGAGAGGTTTGTGAAGTATTTGATCTTTGAGTAATTATACTAGGTGTAGGTTCAGAAATGTCACTATCAGACTCATTTTCACGTAATTCGGCGGGATCTACATAACTAGGATTAGCATCGGTATCGTCTGAGTCATCTAAAAAAACTTCTTCGGTCTCTTCTAACCACGAAATAACTTTATTGGACATGATAAATTAAAAAATAGTAAAAACACGTGTACGTAATCGACTGTGATGGTGGTGATAAAAATATTGCGCGGTTAGTACAGTGTTAGCGCGACGCTCACTAAATCGGTAAAGTCGACTTTGTCTATCGATAACTGATAGGAAATGACAAATAGCGCAATCATTTATTTTTAAAAATATTTATAGACATATTATTTGAAGGTATTTATAGTATCAGATTAATTCAATAATATTTGTACGAATAACGCTCGAAATGCTATCTGTGTGAGCGGCGCGCTCACATGTGTACCAACGACGGGTTAATATGTCAAACGTGGTAACGCGTAATCCAATGTACGGAGATCACCACACACTAGATAGATGTGTATAACTAGAGTTTTATCATACAGACGAGAACAGAAGAACACATTTATAAATACGCGAACTTTTGCTATATATATATATATATAAATATATGTATCGCAAGTCAACTACACTGGCCGTACTCGGCTATCTTTTAAGTATTAACACTACTATGGAATATGTCCATATGTGTATACTGATACAGTGTAGTTTTGTTCACTCAGGAACTTAATTGTTGCAGTGAGCACTATTAACTAACAAGCGTGTGGATACAATATAATTTCGCCAAAATCGCACGAGAGCACCAAAACTCGAACGACAAAGTAAAAAAGACCAGCTAAGGTGTACGTCGGAAACGGAACAGAACGCAATATCAGTAATCCATATTCGGCGGCGGCCTTATCTCATTGTCAAGGGCGGGGAGACGACCGATGACAACCGATTGTCATATTAATAGCTGGACGGCTGATATCGAGAGAGACACGGGTGAGCGCCAGCCTAGAGCAAAAGGCGGTGCTGTGTCAGTGGCTATCTCGGATTTTTCGTTATCTCGAACTACACTCATAAATCATAAAACTTGTAATCAAGATATAAATAAGGAAATAGGAGATCATGTAGCTTTTAGAATTATCCACCATTTTTTTAAAATTAAATACTATCTACATATTTGCATCGAATCGTTTTTTATAAAAGTGATTTTTATCACTGTCAAATATCATTATACTTGACCCAACTATGCCATGTCCCCACTGTACCACGATCCCACTATGCTGAGTTTTTTTTATTTTTTAAATTAATTAAAATTGTTAAATTTTTATTAAATTGTTTACATATTTATTTATTAACTAATATATTTTTAAAGTAATTCCAATAATATATGTGGGCGTAATAAGATTGTATATTGTTTAAGCATATTTATTTTATGAATGTTTATTCTAGAAAGATACATTTAATAAATAAAAATATCATCGATTTTCTATTAGTATTTTTTTTTAATAAGGGATTACAATTTTTTATAATTTTAGAATATTTTATGTAATAACTAGAAAAAATAGATTATTTGGAAGATGAAACAAAATCATAACATTTCTCTGTGTAATACATTTTTATATCATTTATAGAATTTGGAAAATGACATTTTGAAATTATACGTCGTGTATAATGAAGGTATTGACATTCACCAAAGTCGGTATTCTTAAATTGGGCCTTGTAGAATAATACTTTTATCAATACATCACTGAATTTGAAAAATATTTTATCTAAAAAAAAAAACGCATCTTAGTAAAATACTTTCTCAGCTTGGAATAGAAGCTAAAATACAATTATATAAAAAAATAAATCGATTTTTCATAATAATTTGTTAAATAATTACTTTCGTCCTTTAATTCTTTCTTCATATCAACTAAAGACTTTTTGAGATTTACATTTCTATTTTCGTTCAGTGTTACTACCTAAAATATGAAAAATGGTTTATTGATATGCATTTATTAAATAAATTTATTAAAGTTCCAAATTTAATAATTTATGTTGCTTTGTATTCAAAAAAAATTTTATTTGACAAATATTTGTGTATAATTATTTTTAATCTACTTAAAGTAGCTCTTTTTATAATATCGGAAATAATCAATAGTAATTTTATAGCGATGACATGGAAGTTGTTAGTTTTATCACTAGTCAACTCCAAACTGTAACGTGTTTCTTCAAACTAACTAGTAAACTTCCATTGATAGTTGGTTAATTATGAGTATTATTTTATAAAAGGCTAATGTCCAATAGTAGTCATAATAACTGATATTTTTATTGGTCAATGCATAATTTTTCAAAAAAAATATAAGAATCCCAAAAAATTAAATGCCAGAAATGATAAAGAAAATTTATGAATATTAGCAAAATTTTTTGAAAATTAAAATGAAAAATCGAGACAAAAAAAATTTGAAGTTATGGTAAAAGTCTATGATCTTTTCTACTTTGCACATCAAATTGCTTTGAGTATCATAAAAATTGAAGAAAATTGTATTATTTATTTACAGAAATCAGTTCTCTTAATACTTTAATATTTACGGATGTTATTAATATTTTATAGTGATGGATTCTTTCAAACATGATTTTACCAAAAATGTAGTTCTAAAAATAAGCATTCTAGTTATTGATTTTTGAAAATATGTATACAAATCAAATTCGGAGCGTTTTTTATGATAGTGATTCTAATCACTATATCTTCTAGATCCAACTATACTATGTCCATATTGTGCTAATTTTCCTTACAATAGACTTAAAGTTGACAATAGATCAGAAATAAGACTTAAATTTTAATCTATTTTTTTTTATAAAAAATTATTATCTAACGAAAAATGAGGTGTAATATACTTAATAAATCACATTGTATAAAATTAATTTTATGATATCTTTAATTGTTTTTTGTCATAAGTAATGTTGGCTATTTGGCTTATCCAGTAAAGTTGACGTAACTATAATTTTTTTGTTGTGAACTTTATTAAAAATTAAAAATAAAAATATTTTAAAAATTATTGTGAAAAACTCCTCATTTTTTTTAGTAATCATTCGTGTGAATATAAATTTATGATTTAATTGATTATTTTTTCAAAATCAATATGGGCTCTATTATTTTTGGATAGAGAGAAAAAATCTTGTGCAATGTTACTCGTGTATAATTAATTATAAATATTTATAAATAAATTTATAATTATGCTTCCTCTACTAGAGTCAGAGTAACCAATGACTCATCAATGGATTGCATTGTTTTATACTTACCATGCTATCGTTGTCAATGTCAAGATTTTGGAATTCATTTGACATTCTTTGAACCTCATTTATATCCACTTTTTTTACCTAAAGAATGAAAAATTATTGTTTAATAATTCAGTTAAAAAGGATTATCAACTTAATTAATATGTAATTTTACTTATTTATTGTAGCCTTATTGTCAACTTAAACTAAAGAATTTAAAAACTGGTTGTCTTTCACTGGTCTTTATCTACAAAGTTTACTCATACAAAACTGAGAGCAAAATCGACAAAATTAAAAAAAATTTTATGTAAAATTTAATATTCTTTTTCAAAGCACCTCCTTATCCCTTCCCAACATCATGCAACGGTTCCACCTCGAAATACATTTTTGAAACATTTAGCAAACGCATTTACTTTAAACGATTTGAAAAAAGCCTACATGGACCCGACTATCTCTTGGTTTGAACTGAATTTTCTACTTCAATTCCTTGAGTTTCGGAAACATGCCAAAATCATTAAGCGTTAAGTCGGGGCTATATAGAGCATGTTACATTACCACTGCCTTATTTTTTTTGGGACATTTGTGCACCCGTGCTGCTGTATAAGAACGGCATTATAATGATTTAAGATTCAATTTCTAACGAGGTTAGAGTGATTACGAGTGATTATTTTTTAAAAATTTCTTTCATATTTAAATGATTTCAGGAGCAGATTTCAATGTCAAAATCGTAAAACACAGCACATTTAAATTTTTAAACCACGATCACTTATCTTGAAAAGTAAGTAGGCGAAAATCACCTAACATTCATAATAAAGTTTAATAGTGATTAGAAATATATTGAAAAGATATACTTATGGCTGATTTGAATACAGTTTTAAACGTAGAAATGGTATATAAAATTACTTTTAGATTCGCAGTGTCCTTTATATCAAGGTGAGATGATATGTCATCTCACCCAAGTCATGTCAGGCCACGGCTGCTTTAACGAGTACATACATCGTATTCGTAAAGCAGCCGTGCTGACGTGCGACTACTATTCGGATCGCCTGGGAGAGGCTGATAGCGCTCTGCACACCCTCTTCCGGTGCGAGACGTGAGCCTAGGAGCGGGACTCTTTGAAGTCCCGACTTGGGTCTACGTTCCGAGTCGGGTCCATGTTGGACCTGATGTTGAGGAGCCGGGAGGCAAGGAGGCTCGTCCAGGCGTTCGTCGAATCCGTCTTGTTAAAGAAGGAGGAAGTGGAACGCCTGAGACAGAGGCAGCCACGCCGCCCGGCACAGGAGGACCTGAGGCGCTGCTTTAGGCCGGTGCCTTAGGTTCTTGTTCTTGCTTTTGTGTTTTGTTTTTGTTTGTGAGTTATTTTGCCAACCCTCTCTAACGGTTCCCACTGTGGGATCCGGTTAACGGGAGAGGGCCACACCATGTTGCGATTCAGCTTTTGATTATTTCGAGTTGATTCACAACGTGGTGGTGTGAATTATTAAGACGGCGTTGGCCACCCTGAAATAATGCCTCACGACAGTTTCAGGGCAGCCCACAATAATGCCGGTCAATTAAAAAAAAAAGTGTCCTTTATATAAAATGTGTTCTTTAATTCTTGAAATCATAGAAATATTATGAAAAGAAGCTTAGGAACTTTTTGTTTTTAATTAATTTTATGATTACATTTCCAGTATATACACAATAGAAAATAGAATCAACCAATGTATTGCATTGTTCCTTAGTTATGAAGCCATCGTTGTCTGTGTCAAGATTACTGAATAAATTTGAGATTATTTCAACCTCATTTATATCAAGTTTTTCCACCTAAAGAATCAAAACTAATTTAATAAATTATTCTAATAAAAAGGCTAATAAACTAATTAATTGTGTTTTTACTATTTTGTCGTCGCCTGTCTTTTTAACTTTAGCCAAAAAATTCAAAATTTTGAAAGTGCTTAAACTTTTTCTATCTATAAAATATGCATAACTTAAATAGAGGGTAATTAAAATTTCATGTTACATAAGTTTTCTCAAAACATAATTAAAATATAAAAATGTGTTTAAAGTAAAAAGTTTCTATCATATCTTATTACATTTGTTAATACGAAATTTTAAAAATCATGTGTAGGATATTTTAAGTGATTAATTTTGTAAAATTTAATGGAATTTATAGCATAATATTTAAATTTATCTTTTATATTGATACGATCACATTTGCATGTGCCTATATCTCTGTCTCCCATAACATCACTGTACCTTTTACTATATATATATATATATATATATATATATAATTGACACAGTAACATACAACAATACTAACAGGAGGGCGGACTGTACACATAAACACTTTTGCAATTCACAGTCAATGTGCCATAATATATATCCCTATCGACAGTTGATCTTTTACCATCATCGCGACCACTACTCTTATCTTATAATTGATTTAACTTTTCTACCATGTATATAGTGTTTGTGTGTTCGGAATTACTTAATGCTGTAATATCTAATAATAAATAAGGTACAAAAACTTAGCGTCTTCATATTCTTTATCATCGCTTTAATCCAATTACTTAGGGTCGGCCACCCTTATCCTAAACTTGACACGATCTCCCACATCATCTACCCTCTCATCAGCCGTCCTCACATCGCATTCAATTATATTCCTCCATCTCTTTTTTGGTCTTCTTCTACATCTTCGTCCGGCAACATTCATTATAGGGTTGAAGCATAGAGGTGTTGGTCTTTTATTTATTTTGGTTATGTGATCATGTGGTCACATTTTTTGATTTAGTTAATGATTATATTAATTTTGATTACGACTATATTTATGTAAGATGGTTAATTTCTTTAAACTCTGTTATTTTTTTTCCTTTTATTTCATGAGCTGACAGTATCCTCGGGCGCGGTCAGGGTGTACATGGTGAACATCTCATTGGGCCCTCTACAATTATGTAGAGGATACCTATTGATGTTGGTGACATGTCCAATATACCCTGATACATGCGTCGAATCTGTCATGGTCATGTTTCTCCTCTCCCCTATTCTAATTTTCAATTGCTTAATAATATCATTCAGTTAATTGTCATTTAGTTATAACTATAGTCTGACTAAGAAAAACAAAATATTTATATATATATATATATATATATATATATAGCTATTATGTGCTGTTGCTTAAATAAATTAGAAAATATCAGGGCCGTAGAATGATGTAGAATTTATTCTATATACATGAAGAATAATACTTGGTTAGTCTGTTTATAAAGCTTCAAATTCAATGTCCACCTTGACAGTGTGACTATTAAAAAAAAAAAAAAAAAAAACAATGTACATTCTGATTATTAATTGGATATATTAAGGTAAATTTAAAGGAATTTTTCTGTTTGGGATAACTATTGATATTAATTGGAATGGCCTTATAATAAACTTTCATAATCTTCTTAACTTACTTTCATCTCACCATTTATTCTTGACATTAAACTTAATAAAAAAAATACGATTTTTGTAAAAAAAAATTTTTTTTTATATTTTTTACTTTATAATGCTATAACTTCTCGAAAGATGTATGGATCAATATAATTCTTTTTTTTGTAGATGCATGATGTCTTTACCTATCATTTGGTATATTTTTTTTATAAATCTGACTTTTTACCTGCCTACAGGGGGGGATTCAAAATGACAACTTTTTCACAAAAAATGACTTTTTCGACTTAAATTTTGAAAGTGTTCCGGAAAGTCTGACACTTTTATATATATCTTAAATTAAAGCTAATGTAATATACTTTATCATGGAAAAAAAAAATTTCGGACTTTATTTTATCTTCAAGGTGAAAATGGCTACCAAATGCTATTATTGTGTGAAAATTCTCAATTTTATTTTTTACATTTTTAACATTATAATGCTATAACTTATTGAAAAGTGTATTGATCAATATAATTTTTTTATGGGAAATACTATTTTCTAATAATCACTTTTTTATTCGACATACTTTGTCTTAATCAGGATATTAATAAGGAAAAAGCAGTTTATGAAGCTTTTGGAATAATCCACCAATTTTTTAAAATTAAACACTATCTAAAGATTTGCATCGAAGCGTTTTTTTT